GATGTGATTTAACAAATGTGACAAATATATTTTTGGAATAAAAAAGTTTTGATTCCGTTATGTTGAATGATTGCATTGCATGATGGTACGGTAAATAGGGATGGAGAAGGTGAAAACTCAGTGGCGCCGAATTCCGTGATTCCGTATTGTCAAATAAAGGGATTAAATTTCTTAAGATAATTTGATTTAATACTATAATGTTATTTATATTCATTTTATTCAATATTATTATTGTTTTAATATTATTTTTTACTATGTTTCTTTAAACTGTAAATCAAGCCATCTGTTGGATAAGGGAGTGCTGCTATCTGTCATGCTTGCCTCAAAACCTAGTGAAGGTGTGTGATGCGATATAATATTGAGACCTTTGCTAGTGTTGGGTTGTCTCAATGGTGACGACCGTGTTGTAAATCTAATACATCACTAGTGTCAGTCACCTGACCAAATAGATAGTTCTTATTGGAGAAAAGTTCATGAATTATTAATGAGGTTCCTTATGGCAATTACCTGGAGCACATTAGTAGTAATGCATTTCGTTTTTTGAATCCTGTTTGCAGTCTTACAGCGGCTTTTGGAATAGCGGTGTTGTGTTTCAAGCTATCTCATGTTATGGTGTTAGCGTCGCCATATGTGATGAATCTTGTGACATCCTTTTTGAAGTATTGTATTTTTGAAGTTGCTATTCGATAGTCGTGAAAATATTTTGAATGTATTTGTATTCCATTTTCCTATGCTAAATTATTAAACAATTCTAAAACAAAGTGTCTAATCTGCGTCGACTTGATTCAAGTGTCTGTTTACTCGTATTACATTCCTTGGATGCCTGGATCTCTACTTCCTTGTCAAAGAAGGGTCAGACAAGATCGATTTCACTTTGGATGCGAAGGAGTATATGCATGGACAAAGATGTTTTGGCTTTTGATATGTATTTTACTGAGCTTTGGCACCGTAACAATCGAAGGTAAGTGAAATCAAATGTAATTCGCATGTATCAGCAAAGTTTCAGAGTGACAAGCATGAATAAACTCGAGTAATTCAATGCAAACGTTTGCGGTTGTCAAGCATTTCGGGGAGGATAACTAACGCGAGGCTCGATCAACTAGAAGTCAGTTTACCGCTCGAACGGCCACTGAAATATTCAGATAAAGACAGGCGCTTTTGTAGATTTTCCTATTTTCATAGGTTAAACAACAAAAATACCGAGAACCAATTCGTAGAACACATCTTGTCCAGGTTACGTTAAGTGTATATAATATTGCCATGGAATATTTTTTTATCAGCGACCAGACTGATTTAATAGATTCTACGCATAATCTTTTTCCATCATTTCT